TTTCTTAAGAGTTAAACCTCTTTTTGTCCTGCTACAGCGGAAACTTTTACATCATCTGTCCATCCATCAGTCCGTCCAAGCTTACATTTGGATACTTATATGCCTGCAGGAACAAGTATAGGATTATAGGTACCTGTACTCTCTCTTTGATTCTTTGATGTCATTCATTCCATAAGGCTTTTATGTGACTGTTTTTCTTCATTTGGCTAAAAAGAATATTATAAAGAGAACAATAGAGTAGTCACATAAGTACTGTCTTGATAGAATGTCTGTCTGAAAACTTGTTCGGACTAGCCCTAAAAAATTACTGGAGCAATTTCATCCAAACTTTTACACCAAGTCTAGTTAAGCATATTGTCCATTATTATTTTCCAGTTCAATTATTTATGTCAGATTTATGGCCCTTTAATGATTTTATTTTTTAAAGTTTATCTGGACATCTCCTCTTATACAATTGTATCACAAATGCAATTTCATTGAAACTTTACAAGATTAATCTGTATCTCAAGTTCTTGCGCAAATTGCATGGGTTTCTGGTTGAACGATTTTTGGCCGAGTAAAAAATATGCCCTTGAATAAAAAAGGTATTTTTTGTGTGTTGCCAGAATGATACACAAAAGCTTGTCCGAACTTAACTTCTCAAAAACTACTGGTGCAATTTTATCTGAGCTGTATGTGAATAATCAGTACCAAGTCTAGTTGTGCATATCATTGGCTTTTTATGGTTCAGTGAATTTTGCATCAATACAAGTTTTCAGACATTTGTCAGAAGTTCGGGTTTTTCTCCTTATGAAAGCTGTCTTTTTCTGTAGAAAATAATATTAAATTCAGTGTTTTCAGGTTTTCTGGTATTTTTAACTTGCACCCATGATTTTGTCGGAGGTATGGCCCTTTAATTATTTTTATTTTATAAAGTTTGTCTAGACTACTCCATTTATACCACTAATGCAATTTCAGTGAATCTTTTCAGGATTGATTGGTAGGTCAAGTACTTTTGCATATTACACAGGTTTTCTACTTGAAGGGATTTTTGCCCAGTTATGGCCCTTGAATTGAATGGGTGTAAATAAAGTTTGTCCGGACTACTCCTCCTTAAACCTCTGATGCAATTTCAATGAAACTTTACAGGATTGATTGGTAGGTCAAGTACTTGTGTATGATACACAAGTTGTTCATGTGAATGATTTTTAGCTGAGTTATTGCCCTTGAATAAAAAAAGGTCTGTTTTGTGTTGCCAGCTACACAGAGGCTTGTCTGCACTACCCATGCAATTTAATTAAAACTTTAGGGGAATGATAAATACAATACTAGTTGTGCATCCCATCAACATTTTTACAGTTCATTGTTTTTGGCAGTTTTTGTCCTTTCATGATTTTAATTTTGAAATTTGTCCGGACTACCCCTGTTATACCATTATTGCAATTTCAATGAAACTTTACACGATTGATCAATAGCTCGAATTCTGGTGCATATAATTACACAGGTTTTTCGGTTGAATGATTTTTTTTCTGAGGTATGGCTATCATGAGGCGAAACATGTCATCACTGATGGCCCTTGTTTTTCAATTTTCAAATCAGCCTGTGGCTTTTTGAAGGGGAAAAATATGGCGTGATACATCAGAAAAGGGGAAAATCAAATTCCAACAGCTGAGAAAGGAATTTACCTGCACATTTCATAAAATTTTCAATTCAATTTAACATACATGGTACATAGCAGAGGCTTTCTAAAGGGACAGCTTTCTGTCTTCTAGCTGATATTTAGTCAGCTGCTGTTAAGTCATGGTTCTGGTGAAGAATGTGCACAGGGCATTTTTGGGGGAAATACCAGCATTTTTTAGGGGAAAATATACCTATTTTGGGCTTGGGGAAACAGCTTTTGTTCGGCTGTAAAATACAGAAAAAAAATCACTGTAAAGTAGCCAGGACATACAGGGAACAATTTGACTGTCCAATGACCCCTTATTACAACTGCCTAGTTGGGCATTATCAGACAGGCGACACATGTTATTATCATTAATTGCTCTTGTTTGAAGGAAAAGGCTACTCTTTGGCACATGGCAAAATATGATTTAGATAAAATTGTTAAAATGGCATATAAACCTAAGAAATGGATGAAATTTTAATTTTTGTAGAAACAGGGCAAACATGTGATTTATGATGTTGTATTTATTGAAAAAGCTTGTCACTTCAACAAAATAATGTAAGAAACAACTGTTGTGAATTTGGGTATTGAAAAAGGGATATTGTTTTAGGGATTTTAATATATTTCAAAATATAATAAGTGGACTACCAACTGTATATACTGAGATATTAATTGATCAAACTGCAGATACTGGTAGCAAAGATTTACACGTTTTGGTTCCAAACACAGCATCTATGTTCTTTCTTTAATAACACTGTAATTTGGCTTGTCCAAATAATCCTATGTCTTAGCCTATTTGATTTGGCGTGAACAATTTGACCCATTTCACATATTTTTTTTTACTTCCACTGTCAAACTATTGGAAAAGACAAAACCTGTCCAAAAATTATTATAATGGACTAATTATGGTCTAAAATGCAGGGTCTACTGTATATTTCAAAAATAAAAGTTTATGAAACATTAGCTTTATTATTTTTATGCCCCCACAAAGTGGGAGCATATAGCGTTGCACTTGTCCGTCCGTCAGTCCGTCCGTCCGTACGTCTGTCTGTCCGTAGGTCCCGAAATTTTGTGAACGCAACTCCTCTTAAACCGGATGGCAGATTTTGCTTAAACTTACAGGGATGAACAACCTTAATGTGTAGAAGGTAGTAAAGGAAGGAATTTTCGCTGCAACCAAATTTAACAGAACTATGGCCCTTTGTTGATTTTTTCACTATATACTATGTAAAAATTTTGTGAACACAACTCCTCTTAAACCGGATGGCAGATTTTGCTTAAACTTACAGGGATGAACAACCTTAATGTGTAGAAGGTAGTAAAGGAAGAAATATTCGCTGCAACCAAATTTAACAGAACTATGGCCCTTTGTTGATTTTTTCACTATATACTATGTAAAAATTTTGTGAACACAACTCCTCTAAAACCGGATGGCAGATTTTGCTTAAACTTACAGGGAAGAACAACCTTAATGTGTAGATGGTAGTAAAGGAAGGAATTTTTGCTGTGACCAAATTTAATAGAATTATGGCCCTTTGTTGATTTTTTCACTATATAACATATAGAAATTTTGTGAACTCAACTCCTCTTAAACCGGATGGCAGATTTTGCTTAAACTTCCAGGGATGAATAACCTTAGTGTGTAGAGGGTAGTTAAGGATGGAATTTTTGCTGCGACCAAATTTAACAGAATTATGGCCCTTTGTTGATTTTTAGTTTTCAACTTGTGGCACATGTAGTCCAAAAAATATTTGACCTAGAGTCATAAGATTGACAGAACAGTGGTGTGTGGGGGCATCCGTGTCCTATGGACACATTTCTAGTTATTTGTTAAATTGAAATTTATTTTATGTAACATTCTTGTTGTTGTATTATAAAATTAAAAATAATTTAATTATTGCAAAATAAAATAAAGTATTTAATTATTGACAAAAACCAGATTAAGATTCTTTCTTTTTTAAAGACCCTATCATAACATATTGATATGTATAAGTAGCAGTTACTTATATATTAAATAGTGAAATTACCAAACGCAAACCAAAACAGACAAAAAACTCAACTTTGTTATGAATTATTTAATAAGTAAACAAAATAGAAATAACTTAATGTCACCCTTTATGAATTCACTAGATTTATGATAATTTTTACCCGAATTGCAAAAAGAATGTTTTCGTGCAGTATTTAAGGGTCTTGACCTAGATTCGCAGCTCCCCGCTAGACGTCTGCACTTTGACCTAGATATCCTAGTGAATCCTGGTACCGTGGGAACACCTGCCAGCCAAATATGGAAATCACCAATCGTCTGTGTACATTATTGAAGGAGCACGTGTGCTAGGCTCTTACGTTTACCTCCACGTCAATTTTAATAATAAAATCTGGTTTGCACAACTGCTTTATGCTTTTACGTAAACTTTGTACAAATATAGTTTTAAAAGCCTTTTCAAATCGTTTTCAAATGGGAAATCAATATCCGACTCGTTCGCAGATGCAATTCGAAAGCTAAAAGCATGAACGTAATTACCGTGGGAGTGTAACGGAATAGCCTTTGACCATTGTTCACACGATGGGAGCCGCAACTGGATTTTTCCCACGGAGTAACTTACAAACAATGCTGGTTAAAATCGAAGTTTGGTGACATTTTAGAAAGTGATAGATTGTATTCTAAACGGATATGGTTTAATCGTGTCTCCCAGCGGATTAAGACGTAGTTACAATATTCTTCAACTTTTGTAACACGCTATTTTTAGTAACGACAAGTTTGTAGAACTTGCAAAATGAATGAACAGGTTTTCGTTTCGCAGGTAAAAATCTTCTTTGTGACGCGTCTGGTTCACATGAATTTCAAGTAATCTGTTAGACTGGTGTTATCTTAATGAGTGGCAAATATTTACACGAATGTTATAGCGAGCTTTATCAACTGTGTACATGTATGTAATTTTCTCGTCCCATGATAACTAGGTTACCGTCAGTAATTCAAGGATTAGTCGACCGTGAAATATTTTCCCACGGAAGAATGTATCAAAGACGGCCTTGTTTCAAAGGTCAAAAGAGCGAGAGATTTGCTTATTTAGTTACCAGTCTAATCGTCAAATTTCTCGTGAAATGTTTAGAACTTGCCCCAGTGAAATTGAGAGATAACGATTTTTTAAAAAGATTTATTTTGGGGAGAAGTTTTGATTCACATTCCTTTCACATGTTCAGTTGATGAATATATTTATTATATGATTTTGGATGTCTTTTATTTTTGAAATACTTAATTTAATAATTGTGTTTGATTTGAAATTAAATATATTTAATATAAATAAATTGGATTACTCAGCATTTTGTCGAAAGAAAAAAATGTATTATAACACATTGGTTTAATAATAATTACTGGAAAAGTGAATATTCAACATTTTTAATATGATTATGTTATCATATAGATATACTTATGTTATAAAGTTTATATAAAGCCGAACTAGTGAAATTACGTTTTGGAAATGCCGTCATCAGGGAAATGCTTTCTTGTGACAGTAAGATTATTTTAGCTACATTTCTTACATGTTATGTATACATTATTGGAATATCATACTTTATTGGGACTTGGTGGAACACATATTGCAGCACATGATGATGATTAGCCTGTCTTTATACCCAGGGTTGCCATAAAAAATTGTCTTAGACAGTCCATTTTCGAAATTTGAGGCAGTAATTTTGTTTTTTTTTTCACGTGCAGCTTTTACTAAGTTTTGAGGCGGCCTAAAATGAATTTGATATAGACATTTTGCCCTAGAGCTGCCTCCTAATAACAACCCTGCATGGCTTCCAGTAGTGGACATTTAGGAATCACTTACTTCTTGATTTTGGCTTGTTTGCTTTCAAAATGTAATGCTTTATGCATTCCTGCAAATTTTGAATTGTTTGTAGTTGTACAATTTTGTCTCAGGGATTCTTATTTGGTTAAATTTGGAAAAAAAACAACAACAAAGTTTGATTATGTTTAAATTGATTTAGTTTAATGTTGATTTGAACAGCCTCAGTATAATTATATTGCAGGGTTTTCATTATTAACAGATTCGCGTTCCATATCATTAGATATAGTACTGATCATTGATGGTTGTATTTTCAGCCTTGGCCAAATCGGCTGTTTTTATTGGCACATCTGTTGCCTCAGATAAAAATGAAAACCCTGTATTGCTTGTGGATAGAACCCATAACATGTACTTTCATAATCATAAATAGCACCTCTGAAGGGGCAAATTGTAAACATCGATAGCCATTGAGGTTTTTTTTCGCTTATTTTATAGCCAATACTTTTTGTCATATTCCCCAAATGAAAACAGTATATTATTTTCCCAATCCACAGGAAAAAGATCCCAATTGAAAGTTACAAAATAAAAATATTGAAAACAAATTCTAAAATCTTTGAAAATAAGGCCATCCATAAAAAATTGTTTGTTTGTAGTGCTCCGACCGACCCATGAAAATGGCCCCGACTCTAAAAATTTTTTACACCTTCGAGGATTTTTTTTTTTTATTATTGAGATCATTAAGTACCCATTCTGTTAAAAAGATCTTTCTCCAATAACTTTTCAGACAAATTTTGAACTGAGAAGTAGAAGAGTAAAAGAATTTTATTCCAAAACAAAACACAACATGAAATTAACTGCTAATAATAACAGCTCCTTCCATAGGCAAAAATAAAAAGTATTCCATAATAGACGACGCCGCTCACCGGCGTCGCCAATAAACGCACGCTTTTCTTCGATATTTTGCCAAACTTCGACCCCGAACATCGGCGATTTCACATTCGCCAGAAACCTTAAAATTTCGCAAAGGGCATAAAAATTCTCAGTTTCCAAGTCAAACATGTGAATGAATTGTTCTTTTGTTAATTATATAACATTAAATCTTATAAAAGTCGATCCCCTTTTGAAGATATTAGCTAAAATAATTGCCGATCGGATGAATCTCTTTCACACTGTGTGAAGCTGTACTCGATTTTCCTATTCATTCCACTAAATGCTGCATATATATACGTACACGGTACAGTTTATGGAAATGATGCCCTCTTCGAGATATTTTTACAAATATAAAGTTTTTGTCTGGGCATATTAAACCAGACTAAAATTCGATTTATTTTTTATATAAAAGTGAAAAAAAGATTGCCACTTTGTTATGTGAAAATGGACAGAAATGCCTCATGATTTTTTTTTACGTGAGTTGACATATCTAACTTGAATACAATTTGATTCTTTTTGGTATAAAAGTGAAAAAAAAGATTGCAACCTTGCTTCAAAGATAATATACATATATCAATGAATGTTAAAATGGATTACCCTCCGTAACCATAGGCCACCACTGTATACATACATTTTTACACAAAATAATACCAGAAAAACTTTATTGTTGACATAAATTAATTTAAATCATTTTGCCATTCATGACTGTCAGAAAATGAGGTTACACTAAAACTTGTTGAAAAAACAAGTAAATTGATAAAATTTTCGAGGGAAAATCGCTGGAAATTAATGGGTCTTTTCCCGATACTTTTAAATAAGTTCTACCTGTGTTTTCTTTATAAGAATGATAATTATTCATTAATTTTACCTTTTCCTAAATTGTAATTTAATAGCCATATTTTTTTAACCTTTGATGCAATATCATATCAACAAACTCCAGGCTCAAGGACCTGTTGATTACACACTATACATGTATACAGCAGGTGACGTAGATTTTTCTACATACTACACTGCCATATATGGTAAGAACACACGACTGTGTGACAGGTGTAACATACATAATGATCTATTATTATGCTGGCTAGTGAATGGAGTTAATTAACTGGGTTAAAACAGTATGGTTTGTTGGTTAAGTGGCAAGGTAATCTAAATTTTCAAGTGTACCCCTAAAATTTAACAAAAAACAAACAAACAAAAAAGAAAAAAAAATCAAACAAACAATAACAAAAAAATCAAAGCTAAAAAATTCTGCTGTTAGTCATTTAATTTCAAATAATTATATTCTAACCAGATTAATATTATTTGCAGGATAATTCCTTTTATTCAATAGTAATGAGAAATGGATTTGCTACACCCCTCCCCTCTTTGTGCATTTAGTATCTGACAAGTCAGGACCAGTAAATGAAATCTTAGGTGGTCATCAAAAGATTGTAATCATTGATTTTACAAACAAAACACCTATACTTGCAGTGTAAATTGCATTTTCAAATGACACTGAAATACTGGTATTGAGACTAATTCTGTTCTATTTTCTCAAAGGGCTAGATCTGTCAAGTAATCATATTGTACATATTTTTCTCAGACCACTTGTATTATTAAAGATATTGTCACCTTTTTCCAGACATTGTTAATGTCAGTAAATAAGGAACAAGTTCAATTATTTTGTTTAAAGATGAAACAGATGCAAAATAAACAACAACAAAAGTGTTACATTGTATGTCTGTTATCATTTGAAATATTAAACAAAGAAAATATCAACAGAAATACATTTGCCTACATATTTTAATTTGTCTAAATACAATGCACAGTTTATCATGGGAGGCTATATACTGTGTATTGCTATACTCAGCATGCTCCAATTTTGTAACAATTTCAAAAAAAAAAAAAAAAAAAAAAAATCCCCTACCTACCTACCCACCTCTTGAACATAGGGTCGGAGCACTACAAACAAACAATTTTTTAAGGATGGCCTAAGGGCTTTCTTCTCTGTTACAGTGCTTACATGTTTGAAGATGTCATCTAAGACATTGAAATGCATTAATTTAATCACTGCAAAATTTAAGCCATGCATTTTTTCCCCTATTTTTAACAAAACGTCGCTAAAATTCCCAAATTCATGGGTATGGGTCATGTTCCCAAAAGCCTGGAGAAAAACACCCCTGATTTCTCAGGGCTTACAGCCACCAAAGTACAGTGCTTTGATAATTTCTTTAATTGTTCCCCCTCTGCCTTGTCACTTGTCCACAGTTATGATTTAGATGATGTGCAAAAGTAGCAGGATCTAAAACGAACATTGTAAGTCATAATTTTAGTGAAGTGTTGACCCTACTCTGTAAATTATATTTATAATCAGTAGAAATTTCTAAATAATGAAATATTTTCTTTGTCATTCTTAGACTTTCATATGCAGGTAGTACCCCAGGCGCTTTTAGTGCATAGGCACAGATGCGCTTTAATCTCCGAATAAGAAAATCTGATGCGCTTACAATTCATAAAACACAGATATTTTTCTCTTGTCTAAATTGTAATCCCAATTACCAAGAATAAACAAGAAATCATACACTATAAGATTTCATACAGATATATTTACTTCAGATAGCTGCTAAACGTCGGCATGCTCTTGAAATTTTTCAACTTGCAGAAGAGGGTAACCCACACCCCACACCCATGTGTATCACAAAATGTAGCTAGCTTAAATAAAATCCTATGAATCTGGGATATTCATATTTGTCTGATGTGGAATATGGTATGTTAATGCTACAAAAAGTAAAAAAAAAAACAACATAATTATGCCCGCATGTTTTTGTGTATAAAGAAATTATAAAATTAATAATAAATACAATAAAATATTTAAACAAAAGAGAAGTACTTTCTGTTTTTCCAAATCAAAATAAATTTTGTATTTTTACTTACTTTTTTATGTGATCATTGATGTGAACAAAGTTTATCAAAAATATAATTTTTTTGTGTCGCCTTGAAAAGGTGACATATAGGGGTTACTCTCGTCGGCGGTGTCGGCGTCGGCGTCGTTGTCGGCGTCGGCGTCGTTGTCGGCGTCCCCTGAAGCTTGTCCGATGCATAACTTAGTCACTATAAGTCTGATTGACTTCAAACTTGGTATGCATGCTTCTTTCAATAACCCGAAGTGCAGTGCACAAGGACCGGTACTCTGCAGGTCTTATTTTTTGAGTTATTGCCCTTTGTTAATTTTCATACATTAATTTTGTCCGGGCCATTTCTCTTCAACTAAAAAAGCTATGGACTTGAAACTTCATAGGATGATAGATCTCATTAAGAAGAAATGCAGTGCACAAGAACCAGTACTCTGCACTTCCTAATTTTTGAGTTATTGCCCTTTGTTAATTTTCATACTTTATTTTTGTCCGGGCCATTTCTCCTAATGTATAAAAGCCATGGACTTGAAACTTCATAGGATGATAGGTCTCATTAAGAAGAAGTGCAGTGCACAAGAACTGGTACTCTGCATTTCTTCTTTTTTGAGTTATTGCCCTTTGTTTATTTTCATACTTAAATTTTGTCCGGGCCATTTCTCCTTAAGTATAAAAGCTATGGACTTGAAACTTCATAGGATGATACATCTCATTATTAAGAAGTGCAGTGCACAAGAATCGGTACTCTGCATTTCTTATTTTTTGAGTTATGGCCCTTGTTAAATTTCATACTTTATTTTTGTCCTGGTCATTTCTCCTCAAGTATGAAAGATATGGACTTGAAACATCATAGAATGATAGATGTTATTGATAAGAACTGCAGTGTACAGAAACTGCTGCTCTGCACTTATTTTTTTAGTAATTGCCCTTTGTTATTTTTCATATTTAATTTTTGTCCTGGCCATTTCCCCTAAACTACATTGTTCACAAGGCGACACATCCGACTCGCGGAGTTCTAGTTTATCTTATAGCATTCATTATGACACTTCAACTTCCCCTGTCGTTAAGTCGACCCATTTAACAAAAAAATGAGCCATGCCATGACAAAACCAACATTGTACATTTGCGACCAGCATGGACCCAGACCAGACTGCGCGGATGCCCAGGCTGGTCTGGATCCATGCTGGTCCCAAATGTACTATGTTAGTTTTGTCATTGCACAGCTCTTGAAATATCCTTAAATAAGCTAATCAAGTTTGACAAATTAATGACTGTACATCTAGTAGCTGGATTTTGATATTTTTATATCAAGTTTTTTCTTCCGCAGGCAAGTGGGTATGGTTACACTGTAGGGGCCAATTTAGACAGAAACAATGAGCAACTAATCTACTCACTGGGCAACAATCATGTAAACTCATCCCGCCCTTTTACAACTGAAGATCACACACAAAATGTCGGCCATTACTTCATGTCAGGAAGCCAGCACGGGTCCTACGACACCCAGCCCCGTGCCGAACAGCTGATTGCAACCACAAGCTCGCATCATACAATAAATGGGCACATGGCTCAGTCGAGTTATGATGACCCAGTTGATTTATCGAGCAGTAAACTGGTGAACGGTATGATCAAGGAGGAAAGGCCCCAGCATATGTTTGCCAGCCACAACGGGATCAGGGTCGGCATTCCTCAAGATCAAGGTGAGTACAGAAGTACACTTCTTTATAAAACATTGATATTCAAGTGTTTTTCGTTAATAGGCAACTATTTTCAAATATGTACTCAATGAACTGCAAGAATGAATGGTTTCAATTGATTCATTTCTGAATATGTTGGTATTTTATTTTAATTCAAATTTTGATAATTATGTAATTTTTTATTATTGTGTAATTGATCGAAAGTATTTTAAAGCCCTGTTTCAGCAAACAAACTAACAAAATTAATGGTCATAATGAAAAATTTGATGTTTTTCCTTGTTTCATGCGTTATCCTATTGTGAGTAAATGATAAAAAAGAAAAGTAAAGAAAGGAAAGAAAAAAATGTTTTTGAAAGGGAAAAAAAATTCAAGTTTGAAAAACAAGATAAGATTTCTTTAATATTTACAGTCATGCTGAGATGATTTTTGAAAGCAAAGTTAGAAATCAGCTCCGTTCAAGTGTTGATTTAATATGATGACCATTATATTTCTGCCGTTTTAAGCAAATAATACCATGGGAAAATATGTCCGTTGCGACATATGGCCGTACTTGTATCAATATTTCCTTTTACAATTGTAGCCTTCCGCTTGTAAGACGACCTCTTATCAAACTGAGACTGAAACAAGTTTTTCAAAAAACACTTAATAAGACATCGTCACTAGTTGGATGTAGAAAAAAAATAGTTCTTCAAGTGGTCGTAGTGTTATCACAATTGCTCATAAAACTTTGTGTTAAATTTTGACAATTGTTTCGATTGTTTTTCTTTGGGTGTTATTAAATCATGAATTTTAAGCTGACAGCATTTTAACTGCTCGTTTTCAAAGGAGTTATATCGAGGGAAAAAAATGAGAATCTATTGTCTTTAAAATGTTGTTACTTCTAAAAATAGCTCAAGTGTCACGTTGATGGGGTTTTAAAAAAAGGGATTTGAAAACAAAGGAATTATTTTCTTATCGTGGTTTTAAGTGGATTTCAAAATAGATTATCTTCGTTTTATCAATATTTAAGAGGATCTTCCTCTCGTTTTGTTTTAAATTTATGTTGAATTTTCATTGTTCATGTTGGGATGAACATTTTGTGTGTTTGTTAGTATCTATGGTAAATTTTGCCACTGTGATAAGATAGAAGTTGGAATAATGATGATCTTGGAACACACTGGTCGTGTAATTACATTCTAATTGTATCAATTAAATACTGTGTAATTTGTTTTGAACTCTGACTTTTTGCTATGAGAAAACTGGATTGAAATGAGCCGCGTCACGACAAAACCAACATAATGGGTTTGCAACCAGCATGGATCCAGGCCAGCCTGCACATCCGCGCAGTCTGATCAAGATCCATGCTGTTTGCTTACAAACTCTATAACAAGTAGAGAAACTGATAGCGAATAGCATGGATCCTGATCAGACTGCGCGGATGCTGGTTGCAAACCCATTATGTTGGTTTTGTCGTGACGCAGCTCAAATGGTTAAGTGTTTTATTTCTATACTATAAAATCGATGAAATACTTGGTCTTTCTATCAGTGAGAGGTCTTTCTATCAGTGAGATATAATCCATATCATGCGATTTGAGAACCAACAAGAAAAAAGAACTGAAGACAGATCTAAGGGAAGGGGGGTGGGGCAGGGATTAATTAATTGGATACTTATAATTGCTTATTGTTTCTTTAAGAACATTGAGTATTGACTGTACTGTATTGAACTTTAACTTTAATTTATTCTATCACTTAGAATTTTTTCTCTTTTTTTCACCTAAACAATTCAGATATGAATTTAGGTGAATTGAAGAAAATCTATGATTTATTAACATTTTTCAAATTTTAATAAGTGAAATAAAGAACAGAAAAGGAAGCTGTTGACTTGTTTTCTAATTTTAGTCTTCTCCAGATAAATGCTGATTTTCTTGAAAATTTTGAAATTGTATTTATAAGTTAAATTTTGTGAAGTGAACGAAGGAAGTAACTTAAACATTGCAAACCCACGTTAATTACCAAAAAGAGGTCAAAATATACATACATACCTCTTACTGGGTTAGTAACAGTAACGCAGTAGAACTATAGTGATTGATACTGTAAAATTAGTCATTAATCGCACATAACATATAAATAATTATGAAGATATTTAATCTTTTTACTTTTCTTAGGATCTTAATACATTTTTCTAAAGATTGAATTTCTTGAAATATTTTTGCTCATCTGGAGGTGTGCAGCGTTAAAAATAATCAATAAAGATTTTTTTCAGTGTGTGATTTTGCTTATTCCATTTTTTTTCTGGTATGATTTCGAAAGGGCATTAAAATATCCCTTTATAACGTATGAATTTAAATTTTTTGTCTTTAAGAAAATTAACATTTACTGGTATCTTGTTTATGTAATAAATCAATAATTTAGCCTGATGGAACTGATAATGATCAGCCATTGTCACAAGAATAGAGCTAGGCAAGCCAGCACATTTGTTCCCTCCAATCTGACCAGACTCAAAACCGTTGTCAAATTACCTTTTAAATTTTTACCTTGGTATTCTTAAAATAAATTGAAATTTTTTAAATAATTGGGATTTGAGAATATTTATTCATTATGTGCGTGTTTTAACCGTATTTCATCTACTAATCTGATGAACTACAATGTACGCAGGGTTTCATTTTGTGCAGAAGTCAAAAGTTAATTGATGTACTATAAATAAGTGTAAACAGAATGTCTAAAAACCATTTTATTATTATATTTTAGGTCTATTTGCAGATGGGAGTGGCCAGCCTCTAATTCCAGGATCGCTAACTCCGCCCAACAAGTTGAACGAGAGTATGGTTACCATGACAGCTCCCAATCATCTTGAACTTGGCACCCTCCCTTCATCAATACAGACTCCGCCTAGCCCACTTCCAACTCCGTCACCTCCTAATATGAGAACTCATACAGACATGAATGGCTTCGAATATAAAAGGTTAGATTCTTTCTTCATTCCATCCGAATCATTCATGAATTTCATGACTTTGCTAATTGATGTCTTATAAAGTGTGGGCATACCACATGTACATGTTATTTCAGTGTTTAGGTGCAGTAACCACAGGCAGCTGACTTATATCAGCTGATACATTTAGTTGACTGAAAACAAAGCTGTTACATTAAGAAAGCCTCTGCTGTGTGACCATGTATGTTAATTTGAATTGGAAATGAAAATTTTATAAAAATGTGGGGGTATTTATTCCATTCTCAGTTGTTGGAATTTGATTTCAGGATTTCTCCCCTTTTCAGAATTTATCATGCTATATTTTCCCCTTCACAAAGCCACAGGTTGGTTTGAACATTGGAGAGAAAAAAATCACTGCAAATATATTCAAATATCAGAATAATGATAAATTTATTATCTCAATATTCAGTTTACAATTCATTTCCATTCCTGCTAGAATTCATTGATAAAAATGTTCAAGCATTATACGCTATACGAATGTACATCCTTAATCTTACGGGAGCGAAGTTACAACAGTTTTGCCATATACCTTTGTCTTTATTGGAAAAGGAGATCAAAAGATTTTCTGCTTTTGCTAATCAATTTTATGCCATTGTGATTGGACATGGTGGGGATATTGTGAAAATTAGCATATTAAGATGTTTCGAGAGTACATGTTTAATGTACTGTGATAGCTGAGATGCACAATCGAGCAAAAATTGATTTGATATTAGGCATAGCCTTAAAGCCTACAAGTGCATTTTTAATGCTGTGCACTCAAAACTGGCTATATACACATGTAGTTAGCATTTTTTATTTGGTTAGTTAAGTAAGGAAATTGTTGTGTCTCTACAGGTCTCGGAGTCACAGGTTCGAGTCCTGGGCAGGGCACAATTCTGTTTTTGCTGTTGAATACTTAGTTACAATAGGGTTCTGTATAAAGTCCATTTTACTCCAAAGCTGATTCCAGTGATAAATTTGGAGTGACTGGAAATAATTTTGGAGAAATCAGATTTGTGCTTGGTACAAAATTCATATTGTGCTCTGTTAAATAATACAACATCTCTGAATAAAGCTTTCATATTCTTAGTTCAAACAATCATGCTATAGAAGGTCATTGGTTGCACTCTGATGCTCTGAAACTATGCACAGAGAGTCAACTAAGATCTTCTTTCACATGGAAAGCTAGAAAGTCTCTGTAAGATAAAAGTACCTGCTTTTGTCACCTCAATTACAGTTACGGGCCTTTAATGCTCTAAGGTTGTTAATCTGAAAAAGTGTCGCCCCCCTTTTTCACCTAATTTGAAGTTAATTCTACCAACCTTCAAAATACTCAAAAAGATTAATGATCTGAAAAAGTGCCCCCTATGTTTCCTCATTTTATCCCCTTAAAGGCTTAAACTTCATTGTATACTGAAATTAAACCTCATTTTGTACTGAAATGCTTTATTCATTTATGGGCTTTTAATACATTAAGGTTGTTGCTTGGAAAAATACCCTCTTTTGTCACCTGATTTTAAACTCAAATGCTTATTTCAGTTACAGGCCTTTACAAGCCTTTATAAAATACTCAAAGGTTACTGCTCTTTAAGTGCCCCTTGTCACCTCATTTTATGTAAATGCTAACATGCCTTATTACAGAGACATTTATCCTTGGTGAGTTTTTGTTTATTGATAATAAAGAAATGAGCCTTTTAATTTCCTGCCTTCATCTTGTCCTGATTTTGGTCAGAGAACATATTTACATAATTGACTGGGAAATTAAAATGAAGTCTTGGGGTATAAAAATCTACCTGGCCTGTCCATTTTCATCACTTTGGTTTTAATTGCCATGTGAGGTGTTTTCAATTAATTTTCAGACCAGTTATGTTTTGAGATCGAAGAGGAATTACATTTTACTTCTATTTGTTTAAAAGTGATGGAAAAGAGTGCAAAGGGATGAAAATTGATGAAAAGAGTTATTTTTATGAAAAGTGTTGTTTTATCCTAAGAAAATGATAAAAATTCTTGATGAAAATACTTTTTCTGGGGAAAAAATGAGATAATTATAGATAATGATTTTGTAGTTGATAATTAAGTGATAATTTCATAACTGAAGAGTTTCAGCAGATAATTGTGTTTTGTACTTTATCAGGTTCTATGATATTTGTAGTGACTGTTTTTTAGTGCGAAAATTTATTTAATTAACCATAAAATTAAACTAAAGAGTAAGTTTTGCGCAGAACAGTGTTGTGTTGATGAACTGATAGTATTTCTGAGGTACAGAGTTGCACAGGGCCAGTGACACTCTAGTAACTCTTATATATTTGACCTGTTTAAAGATAAATTTGTACCTTTGACTTGGCCTGCTTTTGAAATGAGTATATCATTGTAGAATTCAAACTTGGCAATATTTTGTAAATGTGTTGCTGATGCCAGTTTTATTAAGATATCCACTGCCTCAAAAGTTATAGTAATGGAAAGATATACAACTCTAGACCAGACGTCCTTTTATCAAGATTGTATCACTGATTTTGAAATGGACATGCTGTCAAATTACGATGCATACGAGACATGCAGTGGACGAAATGATAAAAGTAACGAACCGAATGCTGACAATTACGTCCCGATTGTTATGGAAAATAAAACGTACAGTAGCTGTAGATACGCTGCTTCCAATTTCCCTGGGTATGATATGTTTAAATAATTATAAAATGATATTCACCAATGGTTACAGAAAAGAAAAATAAACTGCAGCTGTAAATAAGCAGCTTCAAGTTTCCCTGGGTATGATAGTATAATTAATTTTAAAGTGATATTCGTCATCAATATTGCATCAAATTTTACAATAAATGTGATATACAGTTTATACCATTTATAACAATTCAGTTAATATAAAAAGGCTCTAAATTTGTAAATTTATTTTTGTATTTCAGTCAGTATCAAGACCAAAGATTAACCAGGTATGATTTTTCTTTAAATATTATTCAAACCTATTCATTTGTGTTGATGCTGACTTAGTCTATTGGACCAGTATATAGTTTGACTAATCTGTTTAAACTTTTGCCTCAGAAAAATTACATGCTTGATTTGTCTTTAGTTAATATAAATTGATTCTTTATTTCCTTAGTCTTGAATCTCAAATTTTGGAAAAAGGTTTTAAGTGCCTGCAGCTGAAATGGTAATTGAAGAAGACTTAAAGGGAAAGAAAAATATAATATATACAAAATGAAATTGATGTGCTTGGAACAGCAGATTTGTGAAAAAAATGGAATGGGCAAAGATGTTTTAACCTTTACCCTGCTGAAGACGAAAGTGATTAGTCTTTGCCACCAGTATAGAGCCAGGTCAGCCTGTCTGCACATCCTTGCAGTCTGACCAGGCTCTACACAGTTGTCTGACCAACTTGAAATTCTCATCTTGATATTCCCTGAAATTTGATAATGGACTGTTCCATAATGGAAATTGGAAAAGTCCATTTAAGAAATTCAGCAGGTTAAGGGATAATATTTTAATACATTATTGCTTTTATTTCTTTCCAGAGAAGCCATGAGGAAATATTTGAAGGATAGAGGAGACCAAATACTTGTTATTTTGCATGCAAAGGTGGCACAGAAATCTTACGGCAATGAAAAAAGGTAAAGTCATATATTAAAGCAAGTTTATAAGGCAGATGTGTGGTGGCATGGCCAAGTGGTTAACACATCAGACTAGTGATCTAAGGATTGCTAGCCATGTAGGTTCAAACCCCCATCAGGGGCAAGCCGTTGTTTCCTTGAGCAAAAAACTTTACACTCATTGCTTCTTGAATAATTTGTAACTATTGCCTAAAATACACTCGTATTTCTTAGCATTTGAAATGCTTCTTTTTAGCGCTTATTTTGCAAAAACATAATTTCATGTGGGTTGGTATGAATTACAAGTGGAATAAATAGAGGATATTGAATGAGTGTAGGTTTAATACTAAATTTATTGAACGAGTTGAATAAAATTATATTATGCGAGCCTCTGGCGAGCAAAATATTGTTTTATTGAACAAGTTCAATAAATTTAGTATTGAATCTACACGAATATAATATTCTATTTATCACATATATAAAATAAGAACGGTAAACTGTTAACAAGAGTCATTTCTATTTCACGCGCCTATAGTGTAACGCTTACATTAACGCGCTTTAACGCTATGTTTACGTCAAAGTGTTATTGCACTAGTGTAATATCGTCTAGTGTAATATCGATTTTATTAAATGGCTTTATTACACTCCTGTACCACGGTTTATGTGATAAAGGGATATAGTTAACTATTCAGAACAAAATATTTTGATAAATGTAATACACTAAAAGAATAATATATTTTGATAATTTTGTTACAGCCAATTTTTTCTGTCTGCCACTATGTTATATATGATATATTTTTGATATACCCCCCCCCCCCATATTTTTCTGTCCGCAACCATTTAATATTCTTCCGAATAATATATTTTGATATATTTTTTTTTCCGCCAGATTTTTCTGCCCGCCACCATGCATATATTTATTTGGGAACGGCTGGAAGCGGAAAAAGGAAGAGATGGAGAAAGGCGGGGCCACAGAACAAGAATCTACTGTGTGTGCTTTTATGGGGATAGGAAATTCAGACCAGGAAATGGTGCAGTTAAATATGGAAGGAAGGGTAGGTGTAATGTTAAAATATATAAGTTATGTTTTAGTGGTTTGAAACTTAGATTTGCTAAATGAAAAAAAAACAACTAATATTGCACTGGAAATAATTTTTCCGAGATAAATGTTCAATCTCATGTAGGTCTAGACCAATAACTTTTGTGCAAAATTTCTGATCATTCATTTTCTTTGGTGCTTCAAAAAAAACTTTCCTTATTGTAAAAATAAGCCAAAATTGTGATTGTAATGCTTTTAACTCAAATATCTTGCTAAGAAAATCACAAAAAATACCATTTTCAATTTATATAGATTATATATTTCTTGATTATCTATTGTATATCTTTCTGTTTAAAGTGCCTTAGCTGATCTCTGTAAGAAATAAAAATTTTATGTTTTTAGGCCTTTGAACCCAGAGTCGAGTTCCTTTAATTCTATTTCTACTCTGTATATACTTTTAACGAATCATTACTTTTTTCAAATTTCAGAATTATTGTGCGGCAAAGACACTTTATATATCTGATTCAGATAAAAGAAAACATTTTATGTTAAGTGTAAAAATGTTTTATGGAAGTGGACAAGACATTGGTGTATTTCATAGTAAAAGGATCAAAGTGATTTCTAAACCATCTAAGAAAAAACAGTCTTTGAAAAATGCGGATTGTAAGTATATGTTAACCTTTCTTAATGAAATGGACCAGTCCAGCTTTGAATTCAGAGCTGCCCATTATTATTTATTGGGGGTGGGGATTCAAGAGATGATGATATTAAAGATGAACAGATAACCAGAATAAAATCAGGTTATAGGGGAATGAATTAAAGCAGGTAACCAGAATAATTTATATGGACTTGTAACATAAAAATATCTATAAAGATTCCTCAAAAACTACAGTGCCGAAAGCTTAGATAATTTGCACCATGCACAACTATGTTGCCGGCAATGGAAGTTTTATATGAGCCTCGCCATGACAAAACCAACATAGTGCGTTTGCGACCAGCATGGATCCAGACCAGCCTGCGCATCCACTCAGTCTGATCAGGATCCATGCTGTTCCTTATTAGTTTCTCTACTTGTAATAGAGTTGGTAAGCGAAAAGCATGGATCCTGATCAGACTGAGCGGATGAGCAGGCTGGTCTGGATCCATGCTGGTTGCACACACACTATGTTGGTTTTGTCATGACGTGGCTCATATGACTTATATGACTTGACACATAAGTGACATTTAATAACATACAAGTGTTACTTCAGTGATAATTAGACTTAAGTCTCTATCACATCACAAACACGAAATTTTGTTTGTACGATTTGTAGAGAAACCTGTGCCGTAGAAAGGTCGCATGCAATTGCACAGTCAAGATTTGTTTATCTGTCATTTGGTTACGGCCAGCGGTAGCCGCAAGATGCTTGAGCGGCAAACCTGCGGTCCTCGCAAGACAATCCCAAAACATTTTTACACAAGAACCAATAGAAATTTTGAGTTTGCCGTACGATTGTCTTACGACAGTCTTGAGACTTCCAAAATTTGTCAAAATATCACAGAAATAATGTGCATGTTGAGAAATCAGTCTGCGACATTGCGGCAACCTTGCGACCTTAAAGAATTCCTATGAATGTCTTGCCGCTGCCGTGCAGAACACAACAATTTTGGTCAAAATTCGTTCATACGGCTGCCGTTGGGCTGATGTTATAGAGGCCTAAATAATGTATCAGTGATACTATATATCAGTGTTCGAGACTTAATGATATTTGTTATTTCAGTATGTATAGCATCAGGGACCAAAGTAGCTTTATTTAACAGATTACGATCACAGACTGTGAGTACACGCTATCTGCACGTGGAGGACGGCAACTTTCACGCTAGTTCTATACAATGGGGGGCTTTCACAATACATTTACGTAAGTATACCTCTATAAAGTCTGTTATAATAGTGCGATATTTATTGTAATGCAGAGGGTGTTGCTTTTAGTGGGATTTTTTTACCCACTTTTATGACCTATATTGTATCATGTTCCAAAGGGAAAAATAATTTTTTGTTTCTCCAATATCAAGAAAATCTCATTTTAAGTTGACATTTTGTAACATCTTAATGCACTGTGTTATTTGTATTTATGCATTCCAATTTTCAAAATGTGCTCATAACTTTATCTATACAAGTTAGATAGAAAAAGATGAACAAATATTTGATTTCTTTGTTTTATTTGATATAAGAACTACAGTACAACATATCTGGCTTAGATTCAAAATCTTATAAAATTGTAGTGATAAAGGTTGAAAAAAATATATACTTGTATATCAATACATAATTTTATGGTTTATTTTTCATGAAAATTTTAGTGTTACTTGTTGCATTTATAGGGTTCCTTTGAAAGAGCTCATTTCCGTGATTTTGAAAATTAAAGAAGAAAGAAATAATATATATATGTGGGTTAATAAACCAAAGTCTTTTTCAGACTAACTTGACTTTTGTTGGATGGGTCGGAAATATCAAACAATATTTTGTCTAAGGTGTAAGATAAAGTGCTCGCCAGTTGGTTTTTATTGCAAATAGAGAAACTGCTTTTGAACAAAATTTTCATCTTAGAAGAAAATTAACCTTTGAGAAATTTTTACTTAAAGGAATATTTGACTCCAAAATTTCAGAGATTTTCTTTACCTTAACGTAATGTTTTTAATAACTAAGAGCTTTATGAAATGCAGCCCCAGGTATGTGTTATATTATATGATTTGTTTGTACAGTTGATGATAATGAATCAGAAAGTGAAGAATTTACAGTAAGAGATGGTTACATACATTACGGGTCAACGGTCAAACTTGTATGTTCTGTTACTGGCATGGCTCTACCTCGACTTGTAAGTATTTCTTACTTTACATTCTTTAAAAAAAAAAATGAAAAAATAATACATAAAATTTTCATAGATCATTCAATACTCCGAAATGGCGATATAGTTATAATCTTGTAGCAGGTGTCCTCACGCCTCTGAGATAGTAGATGTAAAGGTGCAGGAATGTCACCATATGGTCCTTACAGAGTTTGGTATAGCACTTGAATCACAAGCAAAGGTACATTCATATTATGTTATTTTATTTCCTTGTAGGTGATACGTAAAGTAGATAAGCAGACTGCAGTGTTAGATGCAGACGACCCTGTTTCACAGCTTCATAAATGTGCCTTCTATTTGAAAGATACAGAAAGAATGTACCTCTGTCTTTCACAAGAGAGAATTATACAGTTCCAGGTAGGGTTGTTTTTTTTAAAGATAATTTTTGATAGTTTTGATGATTGTGCTTATATATATCATACCAGGGTGTCCGTTTTACCCTTGAAATGACTCTTTGGCCCTTCAAATTTCCAAAAGGCCTGATTTGACCCCCAGGATTTTAACTGGAGGGTCAAATTTTGTTAAAATCATGGGGATTTGGCCTTGTAGTCGGTAAAACTTAGTCAAAATTACCCTCAGGATTTCATGGCTAGTGAACAGCCTGTTAACCTTTATCATACGAGTATAAGGCTGATTTCTTGAGGTTTGTTCATACTTCTGTTTGGTTTTACCAATGTATGATAGTAGTCTATATGCATTAGTTGTATAATTATTCTGGATCACTTTTGTTCATGTAATGTATGATATGTTTTTGTATACTTTTTGCAAAGGATAATGTGTGAATTTAAGTCCACACTGTTATAAAACCAAACAAAAACCTGCGCTAAAAATGTACCCAAATTGCACAGGTATGCATATTAAAATGTACCTGTACTTTGTAATTCCCAAACCATAGCATTTCTTCATTGCCATTCATTTTTACAAGAAACTGGAAACAGTAAATTATTAAAGTTATTTAAGAAAAAAAACAAAAGAAAAAAACACACACACACACCAGAAAAACATACAACACAGCTAAATAAAATCAGTTTGAGGGTGCTATGCACAGGTGGTCATTGCTTTTGCTGAGGTCTTCAGCACAGGTAGTCTTTGAATTTTTAATAACTAAAAAAATGATTTGAATGGCACCTGAGGTCAGTGTAGCTGTTATGTCATAATATGACCTTGACAATGTTTGTCTTACAAAAAACCAAATTAAAGAAATGAAGCACAGTCAATGCTGAAAAGTTGACCTTTAGAACTTGATAGGGCAAATGTGACGTAAATCTATCAAAATATTTAGAATGGTACATTGTAAAAGTTAATGAATGTTTACCTTGATTTCTGGGGCGTCTGTGGCCGAGTGGTTAAGGTCGTTGACTTCAAACCACTTGCCCCTCACCACTATGGGTTCGATTCACGACAGGGACTTTAGATTCTGTCATGTGAGGAAGCTATCCAACTAGCTTACTGAATGTTGGTGGTTCTACTCAGGTGCCCGTTCGTGTGTACCTGAAAAATGCACGGAAGGGCACCTAAGGTCTTCCTATATTAGTAAATCTAGAACATCGCCATATGACCTATAATGTGTCGGTGTGACATAAAACCCAATTAAACAAACAAACAAACTACCTTGATTTCCAATGTGTAGCATAGATAAATTTGAAGTAGTTGTTAAATGCCATGACTCAGCAATTAGGGTAGCAATTGATTCGTTGGTGTTTTATTAAGACACATTTTGCTGTTAAATTCCATCTTTTCAAATATCAAAAGCATTCTATTTGTTTAAATGATATTTAATTTTCTTGCTGATTATGGTTTTTGTATTCACAGGCGACGCCATGTCCAAAAGAAGCCAACAAAGAGATGATCAATGATGGGGCATCGTGGACTATAATTAGTACGGACAAAGCTGAATATACGTTTTATGAGGGCATGGGGCCGGTCAAGGAACCAGTTACTCCTGTGCCAGTAGTTAATAGCTTACAGGTAGGTGATGACAAGTTGTTTTTCACTGTTAACATGCTGAATATTTTAAATGGACTTGTCCCACTTCCATTTTTGGGACTGTCCATTATCAATTTTAGGGATATCAATCTGAGTATTTAAAGTTTGTCAGTCAACAGTATAGAGCCTGGTCAGACTGCATGGGTGTGCAGGCTGGCCTGGCTCTATACTGGTGGCAAAGGCTTAACACTTTCGGTTCCAGCACATTAAGGGTAAAAAGCCTGTGCTCTTGCAATGCACTCCTGTAGAAAAGGATTTAGGTCTGCCAAATTGGTACATTTCTTGTTTAAATAAGTAAATTAAGGAGGAATGGGAGTGTAAGTAAAAGCCAAAAGTTTAAATTGACAATGGTAATTTTAGAATGACCTCTGTTACAAGACAAATTTGAATGAAATTACCTGTTGGTATTCAGGCATCGAAAAATATTTTCAGAGTCACTCGTTCAGCAGGACAAGTGGCTTTCTAAATCCAATTAAAAGTCACAATTTTCCACTCGTCTTACGTTGAGTGCTCTTAAATTCTACTCGTAATAAAACCCATGATAAAGTTGAATTTTTGGTTTCTGGTATTTATGCATATTGTTTACTCCTATATCGCAATTGATTAAGCTGCATGATGACCAAAATATTTCAAGAAAGTCAAACTAGATTTTAAGAAAAGTTAAAAAGATTCAAGTAATAATTTACATGTTGCGTGCGATTTATGACTGATTTTGCAGTATTTAATTTATCACCATATATTCTAC